TCCGGACGGGGCGTAGCGTTCTTGTTGATTCTAAATATTAGAAATAAAGCATTGTTAAAATGTGGCCGTACCTTAAGATTCAACTCAAAATGCTAGCTGTAATCTGTATTGTGTTCCGGAGGACTTTAAGACTTTAATGCAAGATTGTTTACTTATTTAAATTGATAAAACTCATAAACAACAATCTCAAGTATTTAACTTCTTGAAGTAGTTATGCATTTTATATTAAAAAAAAATATGAAGTAATCAACATTATATTTATAGATAAAAATACATTTTCATCGACATCCAGTGAAAATGTTAAGAATGGCCTTAATCTAAAACAATAAATCATGATAAAAGGGGAAATTCTTACTTTTTCTTATAAATATAGTAGCCACCACCCGCTCCTGCAGAAGAAGCTACTAAACAAAGGATAACTATTCCAGAAATGGCCCCAACTGCACTTAAGATGATGAGACGAGAAACCCTATGAGTCACTTCAATAATCAAATGCATCAACAAAATCAGCAACATCTCAGTACCTGACAGACCAGGCGCCCCGGTGACAGACAATCCATGGAGCGCTGACGATGTTCTCCCAGTTACATTATTCATCACTTCACAGATGTAGATGCCACTATCAGAAGGTTCAGTGTTGTCTTTAGTGTAAACGGCAGAATTGTGTATCTTTGTCGAGTTCAGCATCCAGGTGTAACTAGCAGGTACGGACTCCGCAGAGCAAGTTAATGTTAACGTCGTTTTCAAATCAATGTCACTTGGACCTTTGATTTGAACATTTTCTGGTCCATCTGAAAAACAGATATTTGTAGTTCTTTAAGCGGCTTTAAACAACATATTTCAATATTCCACAGTCATTTATTTATTCATTAAATGTGTAGCTTGTTACCCACAGTAAACAACCATCTTGTATTCAGCTCCTTCTTGGCTCACAGGGTTGGTGACGTTACACAAATAAACTCCGGTGTCTTTTCTACTGAGACTGTTGAAAGTCAGCACTCTGTTGTTCTCCTGAAGTGACAGGTGGTCATCTGGAGTCAGCTTCACGCCGTCCTTCTTCCACTCTCTGGAGATCATCGAGCCATCAGCGTCACATGACAAGTTGAAAGAGTTCCCCTCAATCGACAGGTTTGTTTCTGATGTGACAGAAGCACCTGATATTCTCTCTGTTGGGAACAAGAAGTATGAACAATATGAGGAACAGGAGCAAAAGTAACTTTTACTGTGAATTGTCTGACAAAAACATTTTAAAGGAACTTGAAAGACGCAGACGTAACAATTTTGTAACACGTCAAGTGTCATTCTGTCCACACAACTGCGGTTTCCCTCCCACCATTTGACCTGCACAGTTGGTGATAAATCTTTTAAATCATGATAAAAGGGGAAATTCTTACTTTTGCTAAACAAAGGATAACTATTCCAGAAATAGCCCCAAATGAAAGACCTGCAGAGCCGTCTTTAAGTGAAAAGAAAAATAAATCAATCAACGAATTAATTTAGAAATATCAGCTATTTGTAAAATCTTAAAAATAATCACAAGAGGGAAAATAGAAATGGCCAAACTAGCGAAATGATCCCTTCAAAGCAAATTGTCAGAATTTTACATCTTCTTTGGGCAGAAAGTAGCTGAGACCCGATTGGTTTAGAGTGCCTGGCCCTCTTCAATCGATTAAAAAGTGTCTTTTTATCAGGATGAGAAAAGTAAAAAGATAACAAGTTGGAAAAGGAAAATTATGATGGTTACCACACGTCAGTAACGTGCTCCTCATATCTGCATGAGGCTGGTGTGGTGATGCTACATGAGCTGCTACCAGCATGTGTGGACAGTAAGAAACACCTTGAGGAACCGACTGCACTTAAGATGATGAGTTTATTCATATTTTAACAACCTCACACATTTGGCGTTGTGAGGCTTTGTTTTTTCTGCTCAATCAACTGATGTCTCTTGAATGGAAAAGCATTTATGTTTGGTTGTTTCTATTAGGAAAGACAGAGAGGATTCAGAGAAGGAGCAGGACAGACGGACAGAGGTGTCCTCCACCAAGTCCCGTAAGAATGTTTAGTTAATGTTTGCCACCACATAACTGTGGCTCAGTGGAGAGCAGGATCGTCCGTCAATCAGAATCAGCAATTCGATCCCCGGCTCTGTTAGTGTTTAGTTTTTAAACAAAAAGCTCCCACCTGAGGAGGGGCCCTCGCTGGCAAATAGGGGATCAACAGTTCCTCTACATATTTTAGGGCCACAACCATACGTGGCCCCAAAATTTTACGTGATCCGTAAAATTTTAGAATCGATTCTAACACAAACAGGGAGCCCTTGAAGAGAATCCAGGGCACAGCTGCTGCGATCAGAACTAGTGGCAGGTGCATGACAAATATTTAATTATAGTCAATGTATGATTTATAGACCTCAAATGTCCTTATCAGAGGGAAACTACTCCCAAAACCTGGAAAGAAAATAACATTTAGAATAACTGTTCTTGGGTTTGAAATTTAGTTTGGCAAAAAGAAAAGCTTACATAAAGTTTACTTGCCTGTTTTGTCTTAGTATTAAATAGCTATGTCATTATGTAATATCATCTTAATATCTGTTTTGGCTGGTAAGAACCTCTAAATTGATCTAATTTAAAATCACTAAACACAATTATTTATTCATCGCCCAACTCTCATGCTTTGTCTCCACCCAAATGCAAAACAACATGTGAAATGTGCTCACCATTAACGTCCAGTTCTGTGACCCCTACCGCTATCTTTCCTCCATCTCGAACAATTAATGTAATGATAACGCTGTACTGTCCACTGTCATTAGAAGTCACGTTCCTGAGTTCCAGAGATCCATTAGATATGAAGATCCTGCCCTCGTACTCCGGATTAGTGTTGTTGGGACCATAGGTATTGTATTCAATTATTATATTATCACCAAATATCCACAACACATGAATTAGTGTTTCTGATGAAGTCAGAGTTGGGTTAAACACCACTGTCTCTCCCACAGCTGCGTTCAGAGGACCATCTGACAGCACACCAGCTCCTTTGGTCAAACCTGGTGGAGACATTCACAGGGATCAAGACCCAAAACCCAAATCGTTAGCAGACTAAACAACTATGACAGCAACAGCAACAGAGGAACCTTGATAATCATAATAATAATAATAGTCACTTGTATCTGTGTATCATGTGGTAAGAGCTCACCTGACATGGCCATCAGGATGATGAAGTGAATCGCCGCTATTTCCATTTCTTCTGCGGAACTATTGACTATGACAAGAGAAAAATCAAGATCACACTCCTTCACTCAGCTTTTCCATTTTTAAAATAAAGGGGGCTGTTATAAATATATGACGGTAGAACAAGGAAGTTATGTGGAATGTTTATTTTTTCCTTCCTTGTAGGCCTGTAAAGTCCATTAACACACTATATCATTAACCACAAGTTATGAAGTTAAATGAAGTGTGTGACTTGTTGTAGGCCTTGTGTAGCTATTCTGTCACACCTGAATGTCAAGTTGGGTTTTTGTCCTGTCTCCATGTTTGTTTTGTGACTTCATTTTGAAAATGAACTCTTGTCTCGTCTCAGGTTCCTGGCCCCTCCTCATGTGTCACCAGTCTGATTGTCTTCCCTGATTCCTGATTGTGTCCACCTGTTCCCACACTTCCCTCATGTGTACTTGTAGTCTGTGTCTCCCCTCGTCCTGTGCCAGTGTGCCATGCCCTTTCGCCTTGCACACCCGCCTCATGAAATAATTAAGCCAAGGTCATAGTTTTGTTTACCCCAAGCCACGTTGTGGACTCCTTAGTTGGCTTTGTGCCGCTTATTGCTCCACACTTCCTTAATTTAGTTTAGAGCCCTTTTTTTGTGATTCATTGTTTGGTTATTTCCTCTGTAAGAGAGATTTTGGTTTTGCATTTGTTTTCTATTCAGCTCTTTGTTTTGCCAGAGCATTTCCCTGTTCATCCCTCTTCGGAGAAGTTTTTTGTTCCCAGGGCCTTCCCTGCGTTTTTTGTTGGGAAATAAAAGCTGAACTTCAACTCTGCGTCCACTTTGGTCACACAGACATTCATGGCACTCTGAGATTTAGAACACACACATACGCACACACATACTGCGTGATCCTTTGACCTTCCGCTCGTGTTTCTTTCAAATTTTAGTCAATTATCTAAAAACGGTTTGATGGACTGCCACAAAATTTGACAGGGATGTCATGAAATATCCTCTTGCTCCACCTGCTGGTCAAACCTTTCCCTTATATTTTGAAAATATATGAAGATCCCCATGATGCATTACAACAAAATAAGCTGAGTCTAAGCTTAGCATATTGTGACTCTAAAGTGAGAGCTCTACGTGGTTGCGTCTGCAGAGATCTTCTACAGAAGTGATCGAAGGATCTGACTCATCCCAGAGAAGATCAACAAGGTGAAATGTGCTGTCTGTCTTAATGTTTTTGTGGATGTACATGTTTTTCTGTGGTATTCAGAGGCAGTGATACAGAAGGCACTGAGGATCTACACAAAGTGTTTATTGAATACAGACCAACATACATCATAGTTTCTTAATATCAATTGACACATTCAATGCTTTATTTCAATTGTCATTGTTATGCGATTTATTTATCTATTATTATTTTAACTATCTTGAATTGAATTGAATAATCAAGGCAAAACCTCACACTGCCCCCTGCCCGACAAAGTATCACAGACAAGTTAAATGTGTAAGTGTGTGTATGGGCGGATCAGTATATGTCTATTACTCATAATCAGAAATTCGATCAATTCGAGCAGTGAAACATTACATGTCATTTAGCTTATTTATCTAAAGCGACTTACAATAAGTGCATTTCAACCATAAGGATACAAACTAAAAAGAACAAGAAACAAGAAAGTGCAATTTCATTAAATAAGCCTATTTACAGCTGGTTATAGACAAGAGCCATTATAGGTACAATTTAAGTGCTAGAATTTGTATTGTGTTTTTAGTCAAGTCATAGTCTGAAGAGGTGTGTCCTGTAAGATGTGAAGGCTCTCTGCGGTCCTGATGTCATCAGAGAGCTCATTCCACTATTCCTGAGCCAGAACAGCAAAGAGTCGTGAGTTATGTAGACTGGACCTGATCCATGCATGATACGTGACGTTCATTAAGTGCCAAATAAACAAACAGAACTCTACAAACAGCACGAAATGCTGCGGCTTTCCAGATGTTCTCTGCATTGCAACACTGTAGAAACATGCACAGTATGAGAGACAGTGTGGGAGACAGTGTGGGAGACAGTACAGAACGTTGGGCTCGAGAAAGTCATCAGAAATGATCCCTTGTCAGCAGCATTGATGGCGCTCGAACAGGACGTCATTGTGACGTCATAACGGATCTTTGTGATCTCGGATGTGTTTCTATGGTGATTTTGCCAAACTTGCTTTGTGGAACCGAGAAGCCTGATCTATGTAATCGTATCCTGAAAATGATCTGGATAACTCTATTTTTGCAGTGACACTGTGATTTGACCCTCCCCGCCAAACAACGTGTTGTTGCTTAGTAATGACGTTGCGTCAGATGGAGGGCACGGAAGCCCCAAAGATCCAAAGTGCTTCACAACACAGACGGGCTGAATTTCTGAATGAGAGGTTACAACGTTCTGTCACAGCGATGTTGTTACGTATCATCGAGCTTTTGTTAGTGGCTATACGGCGTAGACCTGCGTATCACGTAGACTACACCACTACTGTCAGCCACGTACGAGGAACGGGGCCCTGATGTAGTTCTCAGCAACAAAGCTCTGGTAAAGACTCACTACATTAATGGACAGTGAAAATTGGAATGGCTTTTGACAGTAAATGCAGCGGAAATACCACGTTTTCTGTCTATTAGAGGATTAAGAAATCCTTACTAACACATTAACTGTTGAGATGAATAAGGTAATAATTATGTTGTGTCTGATAAATGTGTCGTCTTGTTGTGGAGCTCTTCGTCTTTTAAGTAGCCTGCAGGACAATAAGTGAAAAAGAGGGAAATGTTACTTGTGGTGTTTTGGCTCTGATCAACTGTATGTTCCAAGAGTTCAGTGAGTGTTTCATGCTGTCATTTCCTTATATAAGCTGTGTTAAAATAGTTCCATAACAACATTCTAGGTGTATTTTCCTATAAAATCCAATCATCTATTTTTTACCACATCAGATTAATAAATTAAAAAAACTCACCTTTTTAAGCAATAGACGATTGTTGAGTTTTCAGTTTTCATATATGTTTTTCGTGTTCTCGTACACAGATCCTTCTTGTTCTAGGAATAAAACAAAAAGGTTTGTTACATCTGATTAGGGTAGATGTCACCAGGGCCGAGATCCTCCTTGTGACAGCAGCAAGCAAAGGCAAGTCTTTGTCAAGCAGGTGTCTCAACTAAAATCCCAAAACTCATTTATACTGCTGACCTGTTGTACAAACAACGTCCGTTCTGGGAGAATTAGGCTCCGCCCACTCAGCTCGCCGGTGTGAAGCGTTAACTGCGTTAGAAAATGTTATCGCATTAATCCCGGCCACATTAATCACATACAATATACACATATATATATAGTTTCATATATATATGCACAGTAAATATTACACAGTATTGATAAGAGAAATACAAACCGTTACTTTCTGGACGGGGCGTAGCTTTCTTGTTGATTCTAAATATTAGAAATAAAGCATTGTTAAAATGTGGCCGTACCTTAAGATGCAACTCAAAATGCCAGCTGTAATCTGTATTGTGTTCCGGAGGAACTTTTAAGACTATAATGCAAGATTGTTTACTTATTTAAATGAATGAAACTGCTAAAAAACAATCAACTAAGTATTTAACTTCTTGAAGTACATTTTAAATTATAAAAAAATGTGAAGGTGACCAAAATTATATTTTTATATATAAAAATATATTATATCGACATCCAGTGAAAATGTTAAGAATGGCCTTAATCTAAAACAATGCATCTTTGCATCTTGTACTTCTCTCATAAGTTTAATTATAAGAGATCTTTGTTAGGTCAATGTTAAGTAAGGCTTCAACTTTCCTTCATCTATTTATACTAAAATCATGATAAAAGCTCAAATTCTTACTTTTTCTTATAAATATAGTAGCCTCCACCTGCTCCTGCAGAAGAAGCTGCTAAACAAAGGATAACTATTCCAGAAATGGCCCCAACTGAAAGACCTGCAGAGCCATCGTTAAGTGAAAAGAAAAATAAATCAGACAACCAATTCCTTTAGAAATATCAGCTATTTGTAAAATCTTAAAAATAATCACAAGAGGGGAAATTGAAATGGTCAAAATAGTGAAATGATCCCTTCAAAGCAAATTGTTCTACATCCTCTTTGGGCAGAAAGCAGCTGAGAACCGATTGGTTTAAAGTGCCTGGCCCTCTTCGATCGATTAAAAAGTGTCTGTTTATCAGGATGACAAAAGTAACAAGTTGGAAAATGAAAATTAAGATCTTGGAGTGAGGGGTGAGGAGAAGGTTACCACACGTCAGTAAAGTGCTCCTCATATCTGCATGAGGCTGGTGTTGTGATGCTACATGAGCTGCTACCAGCATGTGTGGACAGTAGGAAACACCTTGAGGAAGCCGACTGCACTTAAGATGATGAGACGTGAAACACTATGAGTCACTTCAATAATCAAATGCATCAACAAAATCAGCAACATCTTGGTACCTGACAGACCAGGGGCCCCGGTGACAGACAATCCATGGAGCGCTGACGATGTTCTCCCAGTCACAACATTTTTCACTTCACAGATGTAGTTGCCGCCATCAGACGGTTCAGTGTTGTCTTTAGTGTAAACGGCAGAATTGTGTATCTCTGTCGAGTTCAGCATCCAGGTGTAACTAGCAGGTACGGACTCAGCAGAGCAAGTTAATGTTAAGGTCGTTTTCAAATCAATGTCACTTGGACCTTTGATTTGAACATTTTCTGGTCCATCTGAAAAACAGATTTTTGTAGTTCTTTAAGCGGATTTAAGCAACATATTTCAATATTCCACAGTCATTTATTTATTCATTAAATGTGTAGCTTGTTACCCACAGTAAACAACCATCTTGTATTCAGCTTCTTCTTGGCTCACAGGGTTGGTGACGTTACATAAATAAACTCCGGTGTCTTTTCTACTGAGACTGTTGAGAGTCAGCACTCTGTTGTTCTCCTGAAGTGACAGGTGGTCATCTGGAGTCAGCTTCACGCCGTCCTTCTTCCACTCTCTGGAGATCATCGAGCCACCAGCGTCACATGACAATTTGAAAGAGTTCCCCTCAATCGACAGGTTTGTTTCTGATGTGACAGAAGCACCTGATATTCTCTCTGTTGGGAACAAGAAGTATGAACAATATGAGGAACAGGAAGTAACTTTCACTGTGAATTGTCTGACTAAAACCTTTCAAAGGAACTTGAATGACGCAGACGTAACGACTTTGTAACACGTCAAGTGTCATTCTGTCCACACACCTGCGGTGCCCCTCCCACCATTTGACCTGCACAGCTGAAAGGCATTCACCAATCAAGCTCCAGGCTTTATATTCTTCCACTCAGTCCCCGACAGATCGTCAGTTTGCAAACCTGGAACTTATGCAAAGGCTTAGACGCGCTGCTATCTTGCCACCTGTTAATGCTCTTTGTTTGCCTCAGCCTCAGGTCCACACGCTACTCTGGATTCCCCGTAACCTGCATTCTGGACTCAACTTGCTCCACCCTGCCGACCATTCCCCCCCGCCTGCTCTCCACAAGGAAACCCCCGGTTCTCTATAATAAAGACTGTTGAACCTTTTCTCCCGTTTTCAGCTTTTGGGTCCATGTTACGTGCTTTTGGAACTTTTGGAAGGAACTATTGTTTTGAGCGGCGCTGTGTTCAAGTGACAGTTCTTTTGTTTTGTTTGCGTATGTATTTGGTCATTTGAACTGGTGAAGGTTAAGTTATTGTTGTTATTCTGTCTGTTATCACGTTGTGTGTACTATTCATTTTGTTTCTTCAGTTGTCCCAGGGAAAAGGGGACCGCACAATGGGGTTTACATACTACCCGTAGATAAACCTCTGTCTATGAAACACTAGGTAAGACCTGGGCGGACCACCCCCTGTATTTATCATAGAGAGTTTAGCAGATTGTGTTTAGACTAGATAGGTTAGGGGTCTTTTTCATTGGTTAATTTCTTTGCTTTGGCTCCGCTCAGCCCCTTTTCCCCCACTACCGTATTATAGGTGAAATAAACCTCGTTTAAACGGTACTGTGTTTTGTTGGTCCTGCTTGTGTGCCCACGCAATTTTTTCACCTCACCCACCTTACTGCCAGCTCACGTGTGATGGCGTGTTACGGTATCCTCTCTTTAGAGAAGTGCGTAACAGTCCATCACCACAATCAACATGACAACAGACTGTCAGACACAGTTATGACCATTTTATAGTTTAGAAAAATCATTGACTTCTTAGAAAAATAAAGTCAGTTCACACACTGAATAAATGCAAAGCAGCTACTTATTATAGAGATTGACTCTAAATACAGATGAAGCTTGACTAAATGTCATTGTTTCATTGTTTTGACCACAGGTCTCTATAGATGTTGTTATCCATAAACACAACATTAACACGTTGTCGTTGTTGATGTTTATGTAGCAGACATTTAGGTTAGACATGCAGAACATGCAAAGTAACATTTGGAGTTGTGTTTCTGTCCAAGTGAATGTAAAGCTACAAAATGATGCCCTATATTTAACTGTCCATTTCTAATACTGTCCAACTGTTATTTGAAGGGCAGTTACATAAATACACCTTAAAATAATGCTGTACATATTTAATTTGTATGTTTTTGATCCCCGGCTCTGTTGTTGACTACGGTGAGTGAATTTTAGTTACTGATCGGCAGGCGGCCTTGTGTGTGGTTGCTCCTGTCATCAGTGTGTGAACAGGTGAATAATGTCATGTAGCGTTAAAGCGCTTTTTTTCCTAAATGTTTTTTAAAGCCGTTTTTGTTTTTACGTCTAAAACTCTTATTCTTGTTTCAGACTCTAGAAAACCTGCTGAAGGGACACTATGAGCAATAGCAGATCATTTCACAGAGACGTACCAAAAAACTGTTGCACAATGCAGATGCACGCACACATACAGGTTGGTGAAAAGCCTGACTTAATGGTCGTAAAGGTTTCCTATTCCATTGTTTGCAGTATAGATTGCAAAGCAACCCAATAAAATAAAAAAAATCTCAAATAAGATGGATTGGCCTTTTGCTAAATTCTTTATGTTGAAAAAGAAGTTGTGCCGTCAAGAGCATCTGGCTGCTGTCTAATGGGAGGTGCTTAGCACGGGAGAGCTGCACGAGAAGGGCTGTTTTCTGTCTTCTCGCTTCTATTTCCGTCATCTCCAGAAAACTACATTTCCCAGCTTAAGATGTCATCGGATATCATCACAGGTACATCCTGTTGGTTTTATATCCATCAAACAAAAACTTCCATTGAAACTTACTCAGTACAGAGACGGCTGCAGGCTGAGATTGTATTGATCTCAGAGTTTTGTCGTTCAAGGCTTGACAGCAGTAGTTCCCACTCTGGTTCTCCTGAAAATTCACCAGACTGAGCTCTGGTTCAGTAGCAGTTAGCATGGTCCCATTTAGAAACCACATAAATTGGGCAGCAGGTCTGGACTCAGATGAGCACGTCAGCCTGATTTCTGATCCTTCATCATAGTGCTCAAGTGACGGAGATATTGTCAAATTAATATTTTCTGGACCAACTGCATGTAGGGTAAACAAAAGCAAAAAGTGAGAACGCAAAACAGCATTTTCATGTGTCAAGTCAACAAAATAATAAAAAGTCTATAAATATAACAGAACAAGTCTGTGTCAAACAATTTCTAAATGAAACAGTCTGTATCATTTTGTTGACTTTGTGATGTAGATTAATTCATTTCATGAGCCTGAAAAATGTGTTTCTAATACTTTGGACAATACAATGTAGACAGAAGTCAGAGGAAAGACCTTTCCTCACTAGATCTAAACTTTTCTATCTGGGTTTGCATCCAGATGTTGCCGGATGAAGAAGTGAGCGTGCAGGTCAGTAACTCACAGCTGATGGAGAGGCTTATTGGATCACTCGTGGCTTCACTGACAAGGTTGAACACACAACACCTGAATGTTCCCTGGTCGTAGCGCGTCACATTAATTGTGACATTTGCGCCTCCGTCACTGAGCTGAACTCTGTCGCCGGCTGTAAGCTGAGAGCTGCCGTTGAGCCAGAAGAAAGACAGAGAGGATCCATAGGAGGAGCAGGACAGACGGACAGAGGTGTCCTCCTGCAAATCCCTGCTGCTGGCTGTTGCCGTGACATCAGAAACTGGAACTATGGATGACAATAGAATGTTTTGATGTTTGCCACCACATAACTGTGGCTCAGTGGAGAGCAGGTCATCGTTTATTTAGAGAATCGGCGATTCGATCCCCGGCTCTGTTAGTGACTACAGTGAGTGAATGTTAGTAACTGATGGGCAGGCGGCCTTGTGTGTGGTTGCTCCTGTCATCAGTGTGTGAACGGGTGAATGATGTCATGTAGCGTTAAAGCGCTTCGAGTGGTCGGAAGATTTTGAATTGGATCGATGTCAAGTGAAAAGCACACTAAGCAAAGCTGTTGTGTAGCAATGTATTTGAGTATACAGGTGTATTTAAAACAGAGGTCCCTAAATGGCGGACCGCGTCCCAGAAGCCATTCCATCCGGATACGGACCAAAAGATAAAAAAAGACAGTGTGCAGTGCATTCAGTTAAACGTCCACAGAGCTCTCACTTTCCAAATAGCTGGAGTGACATTTGTCGAACTCTGACTGACTCTTGGCTGAGACCTGATCAAGAGTCCAGTACACGTTTTCCGAATGTGATTCATCAGTGTTAAAGTTATCTCAGATCAATCTAACACAAACAGGAGCATCGAGACAATCCAGACTGGTGATGTTGTCTATTAAAACAGTGTTAACACAGCTGCTGCGATTTGATCTAGTGGCAGGTGATTTGTGTGCCAAGACAAATATTTAAATTACACTTTGGTATTGCCCTTAAATTACCCTAAACATCATTACCAATCCCCAAAAAATATTTACAATAACAGTTTACTCTTGCTTTTGGAAACATTAGTTTGACAAAAAAGAAAAGCTTTCTTAAAGTTGATTTGCTTGTTTTGTCTCAATATCAGTTATTATGTTATTATGTCATCATTATCATTTTAACATCTGTTTGAATTAATCTAATTTGAAATCACCCAACACAATTATTCATTTATCACCCAACTCTCATGCATCTCCACCCAAATAAAAAACAACAAATGAAATGTCCTCACCATGTACGCCCAGTTCTGTGTTCCCATCCTCTACTTGTCCTGCACCTGTAACGATGATAACGCTGTACTGTCCACTGTCGTTAGAAGTCACGTTCCTGAGCTCCAGAGATCCAGTAGATATGAAGAGAGTGATCCTGCCCTCGTACTCCGGATGAGGGATGTTGGCACTAGTGGTATCGTAATCAAGTATTACCTTCTCACCAAATCTCCACCTCACTGTTAGAAATGGTATTTCTGGTGGAGTCAGAGTTGTGCTGAACATCACTGTCTCTCCCACAGCTGCGTTCAGAGGACCTGGAAGCACACCAGCTCCTTTGGTCAAACCTGGTGGAGACATTTACAGGGACTAAAAAACTACCCAAAACACAAATCGTTAGCAGACTAAACAACTGTTCTCCCTCAGAAGGTTTTACACAGTACACCTCTGCCTATGGGAAGCATCTTTTCATAGCTCAGTTTTGGCTATGGAAGTATTTTTTAAAATGTTGTCTTCGCTACGAACAGAAATAGATACTTACTCAATAAAGTTAAAGTGATCATCAAAGTGATGAAAGGCTGCAGTAGTTGTTAACAAAGCTGTCAATAAAGAGCTGCACAGAAACTCCTCTTTGAGCCTTTGTTGGTAAAATGTGTCTTACCACATAGAGCAACAGAGGAACCTTGATAATCATAATAATAATAGTCACTTGTATCTGCTGTATCATAAGAGCTCACCTGACATGGCCATCAGGATGATCACCGCTATTTCCATTTCTTCTGTCGTTTTATTACTATGAGTAAGAGAAAAAGCAGGATCACACTCCTTCACTTAGCGTTTCCATTTTCAAAGAGGGCTGATTTAATTATATGAAGGTAGAACAAGGAAGTTATGTGCAGGAAGTGAAGTCATGTTACATCCTCATAAGGTCCACTTGTCTGCACTCTAGTTGATCATTAACTCACTGTATCATCAACCACTGGTGACAAAGTCGAATGCAGTGTGTGGTATAAATGGTAAAATATGACGCCATAATGTTTTATTACATTTAATTTTTGAGAAAGTTCCACGACACCAGCTTTGATTCACAAGAAACTGATTCCTGATTGTATAAGAGAAGATCTTCCACCACAGTGGCTTGTTGTATGACTGTTGTAGCTGTTCTTTGCCATAATATTCTGTAGTCTCTGTATCAATGTTAGTCTGTTGTTTGGCAGGTTTGTCGTCCACTTTGGTCATACAGACATTCATGGCACTCGGAGATTAAAAACACACACATACGCACACACATACCGTGTGATCCTCTGACCTTCCGCTTGTGCTTCTTTAAAATTTTAGTCAAACATCTCATTAAATATCCAATTGCCCCACCTGCTGGTGAAATCTTATTTTTTGAAAATATATCTAGATCCATGATGCATTACAACAAAATGGGGCTGAAATGTATGTTTATTTTTTATTCATTATTATGAGTTTCTTTATTTTGTTACCCCTCTTCTATCTTTAAAAAAAGACTCAACAAACTCAATCGTATCAATTCACAAGTAAAAATTTTTTAAAAGTGCAGACAAAAAAAACAAAAAAAAGTTCATAAAAGCTGAATCGAAACTAGTGTTTTGTCTGTTCACGATATCATACAATGACTCAAACATTCATGTATGTATTTTCCATTCAATTCAATTCATGATTTTATTATTATTTTGTAGCCCAAAATCACAAATTACAAATTTGCGACATTCCCTGTCCCGAAACCTCACGACAGCAAAGAAAAAATTCTCCAACAGATAAAATGCCCTTCGATGTGAGATAAAAAGGAAAATCTTAGGGAGGATCTCTCTCCCGGGATGGACAGAATGCAATAAATGTTGTGTAAAAATATGTACAATTCATTAAATTCCTACAGCAGAAATGATTCAAATGTTGCGAGTAGTAACCCAGGTGTACGCCAGGACCTATGCATGCATGGACAATCACCATCAGACACAATCACCATCAGACACAATCACCATCAGACACAACCACCATCAGACACAACCACCATCAGATATAACCACAAGACAAGACCACCATCCCCAGAAACCTGTGGGGAGGAAAGCCTCCCCACAGGTTTCAGTCGTTAATCTTTGTTTATGACGACTGTATTAGTATTGTAATTAATATTGATAATAATAATGATAGCGGCAGCAGTTGTCAGCAAGTCCATGGCAGGGGGCAGGAACAGGGCCCAGACTGATGCATAGAAACATGTGAGGCGAGAAAGCACAAATACTCTGTAGAAGAAACAAAGGTTTGCATTGACGTTGACAGCAAAAGTAATGGGACTAATAATGGAAACTTGCGGGGCGAGAAGGCAAAAGAAATGTAAGAATATTTAAAGATGCCTACTGCTCCTTAACAGTATTCCACTCTGTATGGCACACATCCTGTAAAAATACAATTTAGCAATTAATTAGTAATTCAATAATTAGAAATATAAATTAATTGTACTATACTACTGTGTTTTCGGATCCTCGTTTTTCTGTATGTATGCCAATAAAAAAACACATTTACACCACTAGAGGGCGACGCCCAGTGTCTTTGCTTAGTGGGTTTGTCTCAATATGCACTTTGTCACATCAGCTCTGCGTTTACTCACTCGTATGATTACAGCTGCCGGAGTCTCACATTTAATAGGACCGTCAAAGTTTAAAGAGTGACATTTCGCCCAGCGGTTAGTATCTCACAAAGGCACATCAATGGATATTTTTCCTTTACTTTGTACGGTTGTGGTGGTTTTTACAGGTAAGCACTTTGATTTTAAAGTTCTATTGTCTACTACCGTCAGTGTTGAATTTTTTTTTCTAAACTTTAAAAATTGTATAGATGTTGCTGGAAAGGTGCCTGGATCTTGATGCCTTCTGTCATGCTTTTGTGACTTAATAGCAGCATGGACAGCAGACCGTATTCATAGCTAATAAAAGTAACTTAATGCCTGATCCAAGAAATGTATTTATCGTTGGGTTTAATGCCTGTGCTATAAATAAAAAAAATATCAAAAGTGTAGATTTATTGAAAAGTGTGTGATGCATTAAGATGTATGATATTGTAGGCGGTTCTGATAAATAATCACCCAACTGGGATAAATGGCTCAATTTCTTTGTGCTTGTAATCGGAAAAGTATGTAACCCTTCAAATGTTTTACTATACGAACAGTTTATAGATTGCGAGTGCTGCGATTGTGTGGCTTTGGGAAAGTATTAAGCTGAAGTGTCTGACACTGATAAGATGTCTCCAGTCTCACGGCTGTAGTGTAACAATAAGTTGGTTCACATGTGTCGGATGTAAGAAGGTTTCTGATTCCCCCTGTAACTGGACTGAGGTGTAAGAACTGCTCTGCCCTGTGTGTCAGTCAACTGAACACGTGCCTCAGAGAAAGACATATTTGACTTATAAGACTTATTTTCCAATTGTCTGTGTCTTCCTCCTGTTCAGTTCCATGATAAAAAAACAGCATCTACTTCAAATGCTTGAGATGGAAACCATCTAGTGTTTCTTCATTACTTGTTTGTTTTCAATAATTATACACCTATACTAATATATTATGGAAACAATTATGTTTTGTGTGTTCCTTTGGCATTATGAGTAAGGATGTGTTACGAATGGCTGATTTGGCTATTTCCTCAATTCATCAGCGAGTTCCTCTCAGACCTGTAATTAAATGTCTCCACCAGGTTTGACCAAAGGAGCTGGTGTGCTTCCAGGTCCTCTGAACGCAGCTGTGGGAGCGACAGTGATGTTCAGCACAACTCTGACTCCACCAGGAACACCATTTCTAACAGTGAGGTGGAGATTTGGTGAGAAGGTAATACTTGATTACAATGCCACTAGCAACATTCCTCATCCGGAGTACGAGGGCAGGATCACTTTCTTCATATCTACTGGATCTCTGGAGCTCAGGAACGTGACTTCTAACGACAGTGGACAGTACATCGTTATCATCATTACAGGTGCAGGACAAATACAGGATGGGAACACAGAACTGGGCGTACATGGTGAGGACATTTCTCATGTTGTTTTTCATTTGGGTGGAGATGGATGAGAGTTGGGTGATAAATGAATAATTGTGTTGGGTGATTTTAAATTAGATCAATTTAAACAGATGTTAAAAGGATAATGATTACATAATAACATGGTAACTGTTTGACATTGAGACAAAAACAAGCAAATCAACTTTAAGAAACCTTTTCTTTTTTGTCAAACAAGTGTTTTCAAGAGCAAGAATAAACTGTTATTGTAAATTGTATTTTCTTTCCAAATTTGGGGATTGGTTTCGCACTGGTAATGTCATTTAAGGTCTATAAATCCTCAGTCCTCATACATGTCTGTCTGACACTTTGGACTGTAATTTAAATATTTGTCTTGCCTCTCTGTCAGCTGCCACTAGTTCAGATCACACCAGCTGTGTTAATCACTGGTTTTAATAGACAACATCACCGAGTCCTGGATTCTCTTCAATGGCTCCCTGTTTGTGTTAGAATTAAATCTGAGCTATTGCTGATCACCTTTAAGGCACGTGTGGGTGTGGCCACAAAATATGTAGAGGAAATGTTGATCCCTTAGTTTGCCAGTTAGGGCCTTTAGATACTAAACATAAAACTTAAGGGACCAGTGCTTTTGCAATCAGGGCCCTTTTGGAACAAATCGAATCGAATCGCCGATCCTCTGATTGAGGGACGAACCTGCTCTCCACTGAGCCACAGTTATGTGGTGGCAAACATCAAAACATTCTATTGTCATCCATAGTTCCAGTTTCTGATGTCACGGCAACAGCCAGCAGCAGGGACTTGCAGGAGGACACCTCTGTCCGTCTGTCCTGCTCCTCCTATGGATCCTCTCTGTCTTTCTTCTGGCTCAACGGCAGCTCTCAGCTTACAGCCGGCGACAGAGTTCAGCTCAGTGACGGAGGCGCAAATGTCACAATTAATGTGACGCGCTACGACCAGGGAACATTCAGGTGTTGTGTGTTCAACCTTGTCAGTGAAGCCACGAGTGATCCAATAAGCCTCTCCATCAGCTGTGAGTTACTGACCTGCACGCTCACTTCTTCATCCGGCAACATCTGGATGCAAACCCAGATAGAAAAGTTTAGATCTAGTGAGGAAAGGTCTTTCCTCTGACTTCTGTCTACATTGTATTGTCCAAAGTATTAGAAACACATTTTTCAGGCTCATGAAATGAATTAATCTACATCACAAAGTCAATAAAATGATACAGACTGTTTCATTTAGAAATTGTTTGACACAGACTTGTTCTGTTATATTTATAGACTTTTTATTATTTTGTTGACTTGACACATGAAAATGCTGTTTTGCGTTCTCACTTTTTGCTTTTGTTTACCCTACATGCAGTTGGTCCAGAAAATATTAATTTGACAATATCTCCGTCACTTGAGCACTATGATGAAGGATCAGAAATCAGGCTGACGTGCTCATCTGAGTCCAGACCTGCTGCCCAATTTATGTGGTTTCTAAATGGGACCATGCTAACTTCTACTGAACCAGAGCTCAGTCTGGTGAATGTTCAGAAGAACCAGAGTGGAAACTACTGCTGTCAAGCCTCGAACAACAAAACTCTGAGATCGATACAATCTCAGCCTGCAGCCGTCTCTGTACTGAGTAAGTTTCAATGGAAGGTTTTGTTTGATGGATATAAAAACAACAGGATGTACCTGTGATGATATCCGATGACATTATCTTAAGCTGGGAAACGTAGTTTTCTGGAGAAGACAGAAAGTCAGAATATGCAAAACACAGCCCTCTTCTTGCAGCTCTCCTTTCTCTGTGTTAGTTCATTAGACAGCAGCCGGATTATCATGACGTCACAAGATTACAACATAAAGAGGTCAGGAAAAGGCCAATCAACCTTCTCTTTGAGAAGTGTCTTCTTTTTATTGTGTTGCTTTGCAATCTATTCTGCAAGCGATGGAACTTTTTGTCTGTTAGGTGAATGTGGTCGTGGCTGATTAGATAAAATACATAAAATAAATTAAAACTTTAGTTTTTTACCCACAGTGCATGTGGCCAATGTTTTGGTAACTGCAAACCCAACGGGCATGTTGGACTACAGCACTATGATCCTCTCTCTCTTTCCTCTGGCTGAACTGCAGCTCAGTTCAACTCGCTGATGGAGGCTCCACTCTCACTATTGCCAATGTGACCCGCTATGACCAGGGACCATTCAAGTGTCAGCTGTTTAATCCTCTAAGCAATGACACCGGTGATCCAGTAAACCTCTCCATTAACTGAGTTATTGACTTAAATGTGCAGATTCTTTATCTTGCAAGTTTGATGCACAGCATGATGAGGCTTCACGTCGGGAGGAGCTGCATGTCGTGTAGCATCTTCTTTCGGTGATTCTTTAGTTTTTCTCGACACTATGGATGGGCCAGAAAATATTTTGAGAATATCTCACAAAAGAAAACACAAAACTATTATGACGAGGGGTCAGAGGTCAGCCTGAGGGGCTCAGGTGGCTCCAGGCCTTTTGCCCTGCTTCTATGGTTTCTGAATGGAGACTCGCTGTCTGATACTGGATACTGGATACCGGAGCTCGGACTGATGAACATTTAGATGATCCGAGTGGGAACTACAGCTGTCTGGCCTTTAACAACAAAGAACGGAAAACATCTCTGCCCTCAGTTTTCTCTTATTGTCACGAACGGGGAAGACAGGACCCAGACGCAGAGATGAAAAGCAAAAAGACTTTAATAGTCGAAATCAAACTGCCAAGGGGAAAAACACAGGCAGGGACCAGGAACTCACAAGACATTCAGTAGATTCAATGACGCGACAAAGGGGAGGTGCGGGTGACAGGACAAGGTAGGAAGTGAAGTTACCCAGGGACACGAGAGGCAGGAAACTACAAAATAAAACAGAAAACAAACCCAAACCGTGACACTTATTGGGTAAAATTGAATTAGGATTTTTAGTGATGGTAGCATCGGTATATCAATTTGTACTTACAAAGATTAAAGACAGTTTATCATGGAACAACAATGATTAAAGACAAACATTATACATTTGAGTAACTTGTGTAACATCAAATTCAACATCAATTCAAAACCTTTTTGAATTTAAAACTATATTGCCTAATCTTACAAGCAAATTTAAAGTGTATATAAATATGTATGTATATATAACTGCTGAAAAAAGTGGATCATTTTGTAGCTGAAACAACCGATATTTGTGGACTTACATTCATCTGATGGACAGACTCACAACTCCAAATATTACTTTGTATGTTCTGCATGTCTAACCTAAATGTTTGCTACATAAACCTCAACAACGACAACGTGTCAATGTTGTGTTTATGGATGACAACATCTATATTGTCAAAACAATGAAACAATGACATTTGGTCAAGCTTGTCAGACAATTCACAGTAAAAGTTACTTTTGCTCCTGTTCCTCATATTGTTCATACTTCTTGTTCCCAACAGAGAGAATATCAGGTGCTTCTGTCACATCGCAAACAAACCTGTCGATTGAGGGGAACTCTTTCAACTTGTCATGTGACGCTGGTGGCTCGATGATCTCCAGAGAGTGGAAGAAGGACGGCGTGAAGCTGACTCCAGATGACCACCTGTCACTTCAGGAGAACAACAGAGTGCTGACTTTCAACAGTCTCAGGAGAAACGACACCGGAGTTTATTTGTGTAACGTCACCAACCCTGTGAGCCAAGAAGGAGCTGAATACAAGATGGTTGTTTACTGTGGGTAACAAACTACACATTTAATGAATAAATAAATGACTGTGGAATATTGAAATATGTTGTTTAAAGCCGCTTAAAGAACTACAAATATCTGTTTTTCAGATGGACCAGAAAATGTTCAAATCAAAGGTCCAAGTGATATTGATTTGAAAACGACGTTAACATTAACTTGCTCTGCTGAGTCCGTACCTGCTAGTTACACCTGGATGCTGAACTCGACAAAGATACACAATTCTGCCGTTTACACTAAAGACAACACTGAACCTTCTGATGGCGGCAACTACACCTGTGAAGTGATGAATAATGTGACTGGGAGAACATCGACAGCACTCCATAGATTGTCTGTAACAGGTACCAAGATGTTGCTTAACATTGTTCTTTTAGTTGTAGTACATCAAGTAGTTTTTATTCACAGCATTCTTCTCTCTTCCTACAATGTTACTCATTGGCTACAGTTTGGTCAGTGATTTAGGAAGTTTTTGAGATCGCATACTAGCTCATCGCACGCATTGTGAGACTTTCTCCCACAGTCCAAAGACAGGCAGGATTGGTTAATTAGGGACTTGTGCGAATGGTTCTAAGAATGGTTGTCTGTCTCCATGTCAGCGCCGCTATGGACTGTCAACAAGTCCCGGGTCTACAGTCTCCTGCACGGTTAGCTGGGATTAACTCGTAACTAGTCGAGAAGCTGGCCTGAAGCAGAGATGAGCGTACCGCAGAGGCCATCTAATTATTTCACCTCCAAAATGTCATCAGTACCAACACATGATGACTAGATGTTGAGAAGCTAAAGTAGACGTACATTAAAGGCCTTACTGATGTAAATAAACCAGTAGTTGTCACTGACCAACTGTGGAGTCCAATAGAAATGGTTGTATGCTTTGTATCGCCGGATGTAATGAGTCACTTGCTGTGGTTTCTGTTAACAGAATGATGCAAAAATCCTGTTCTTATCCCTTGTTGCAAGTTCACCCTCCAGGCACATCATCACCATGTTCGGCTGGTTGCATCGCTGGAATAGTCATCGCAGTTTTAGTCGTCTTAGGAGCAGTTTGCGGAGCGAGCTTCTTATATTACAAAAAGTAAGTGGAAAATATCTTTGACAAACTAGCAGCGAGCCTTTTTTAAATGAATAAAACTCAGGATTATGTTCAGGAGACCACTCAGTATTATTAAGTTGGGACCCAAAGGCGGAGGCGATTTGCATGACAGGAGAGTCACTACACGGCAGAGGAAGAGAGCCGACAATAAGGGACTAGAATCAGGTCGACATTGAGACCATGAACTTTGTTTAATCAAGAGGTTGATTTTCAGCAAAGCGTCAATGGCCCATGTGCTGCTTTTATTGTATATCTCATATAGTAAACGCTAAACCCACCTTCATCTTGGACTCTTTATGGTGGAGTAACACTAGGCAGGTATAAATATTAAACTGTTCTGGAGTATTTGGCTCTCCAGGAGTTAAAAATTTGACATCAGTGTTTCAAAACTCTTAAACCAATAACCGTGTTCGAGTGTCTTTCTGAAAAGGTTGCTGGCTATAAATCATGATTTTAATTCACTCTTTCAAAACACATTTTGGACTAAAATTTATATGGAGAAATGACTTTTATAAGTATATGTATTGATTTCCACAATATCATGTCAATATTCCTATAATTATGTGGCAAAATGAGGTATAATGCCGATCAACTGTTTTACTCACATAATAACTCATTAACTCTCTCAACAGAAAACCAGCAAACAAACACTCCATCAGAAGCCCAACCGCTCCAACAGGTATGAGAGTATATGAACTTTATAACAGTATCTACTGGCTTCATTAAAACAATATGTAAGGAGACGCCGGATTCGGAGGGATCCATTCGCAGGTTTTTATTAGAGCATCAGACAGGCAGAGTCAATGACAGCAGACAGGGCAACGTAGAGCAGACAGGATCGTAGTCAGCGGGCAGGCAGGGGTCGGGGCAGGCAGAGAGCAATCAACAGTACGGTCCGGGGTCACTAAACAGGGATCAAGACTAGGAGAAAACGCTCAGAAATGACAGCCGGGGCAGAATCAGGACTTCGCAGTGAGTGTGTGGGTGTCAGTGGCTTTTGTGTGTGTGTCAATGAGGTGCAGGTGTGTGTGTCAATGAGGTGCAGGTGTGTGTGTGTCATCAGTGGTGTTGTGGAATCAGTCCCAGGTGTGAAGCATGATGGGAGATGGAGTTCGAAACCAGTTAGTACTCGGGAGAGGGGTCCCTCCGATGGCGAGAGGGAGGCGGTGCGGGAGCGTCCTTCGTAACAGAGCCCCCCCCCTGTGAGCGGCTCCTGACGCGAAGAGATACGCGGCGCCGAGGTCTTCCGCGGGAACGAGGGGCCGGCTTCTCCGGGTGTGCGCGATGAAACTCCTCCGTGAGTGTGGGGCCAAGGATGTCCTTAGCGTCGGCCCAGGATCGCTCCTCCGGACCGAACCCCTCCCAGTCCACCAGATATTGGAGGGTCTTGCCCCGGCGTCTGGAGTCGAGCAGCTCATGCACACGGTAAGCCTCCTCGCCGTCGACCAGGATGGCGGGGGGAGGTTGTGACGTGGATCTCTCCTCCCGCGCTCCTCTCGGGCCATCGGCAGGTTTTAGCAGGGAGACATGGAATGTAGGGGAAATACGGTAGTTGGCGGGTAGGTCTAATCGAAAGGATACAGGGGTAATTTGCTTCTTAATTTGAAATGGACCCTCATACCTGGGGCTGAGCTTGCGACATGGGAGTCGAAGTCGGAGGTCTTTGGTGGAGAGCCAGACCCACTCTCCGGGACTGTACTGGGGACCAGGACGACGGCGACGGTTGGCCTGACCTTCCTGGCGTCTAACGGCGTGGAGGAGGTGAGTGTGGGCCTGGTTCCAAGTCTCCTCGCTTCTCTGCAACCACTCTGTAACGGATGGTAGGTTAGTGGGCTCCCCTGACCACGGGAATAGCGGTGGCTGAAAGCCCAAGACGCATTGGAACGGGGTGATGCCCGTGGCGGGTTTGACCAGCGAATTCTGGGCGTATTCGGCCCAGAATAGATATCTGCTCCACTCCGTCTGTTGTCGCTGGCAGTATGAGCGGAGGAAACGGATAACGTCCTGGTTCAGACGCTCAGTCTGCCCATTGGATTGTGGGTGGTAACCGGAGGTGAGGCTGACGTTAACGTTGAGGCGTTGGAAGAAGGCGGACCATACTCTGGAGGTGAATTGGGGTCCCCGGTCTGACACTATGTCCTCCGGTAGTCCGTAGAAACGGAAGACCTGGTTGCAGAGCAGTTCCGCAGTGGCTAGTGCTGTGGGAAGTTTGGGTAGTGGGACGAGTCGGCAGGCCTTGGAGAATCGGTCTACGATGGTGAGGATGGTGGTATGTCCCTGCGATGCGGGTAGGTCGGTGATGAAGTCTATGGCAATGTGGGACCAGGGTCGTTGGGGTATGGGTAGTGGTGTTAGTAGGCCGGCTGGTAATTGTCTGGGGGTTTTGGAGGTGGCGCAGTTTGCGCAGTTCTGCACGTGTCGGGTGGTGTCAGGAGTCAGAGTGGGCCACCAGAAGCGGTTCTTGAGGAGCTGAATTGTGGCGGTGATACCGGGGTGTCCGGAGCTTGGGGTCGAGTGCACCTGATCGAGGAGTCGTGAACGTAGCGTCTCGGGGACAAAGAGGAGATTTGCGGGACATTCGGAGGGAGGTGCTTGACGAAGGTTCAGCTGCTCGATCTCCGTGATGATGTCCCATTGAACCGGCGCCACGAGCAAGCTTTCCGGGATAATGTTATCCCTTGCAGTGGGTGGAACTCCCTCGGTCTGGCGAGAGAGGGCGTCGGCCTTCGTATTCTTGGAGCCTGGTCGATAGGTTACCGTGAACTGGAATCTCGTGAAGAAGAGGGCCCATCTGGCTTGCCGGGGTTCCAAACGTTTAGCGGAGCGAAGGTATTCGAGATTCTTGTGATCGGTTAGAATGATGAATGGCTGGTTCGCTCCCTCCAACCAGTGCCGCCACTCCTCGAGTGCCAGTTTCATGGCCAGTAACTCACGATTGCCCACATCGTAGTTACGTTCGGCTGGGGTTAGTTTGCGAGAGAAGTAGGCGCATGGGAACATCCTGGCGGGTGTGCCTTGACGCTGGGAGAGAATGGCCCCTACTCCGGTGTTGGAGGCGTCGACCTCCACTATGAATTGGAGCTCGGGGTTGGGGTGTCGCAGGAGGGGTGCTGAGGTGAACCGTGACCGTAGCTCGTCGAAGGCGTGTTGTGCCTCCTGGGACCAGTTGATGCGGTGCGTGTGGCGCT